TAAATAAATAAATGGTGGACATGGCCTCCAATTCAGTGGTTCTAGCTCAGAGTTTTTACAGAAACCAACTAAATCTCAGGCAAAAAATTATAGGGTCACCAGATCTAGCTTTTTTGTCCTTAATTTCAGGCAACAACGAACAGCAAAATCATAATCAGTTAATTATCTTTTTCTGTACTACAACATGTTTGGAAATTGGCACAAAGCAGAAGGGAACTTGTAGTTTATCTTTACATGCACAGAAAAACAGAATGTGACATATAACCCTAACAGAAAAACTAACACACCAGTTCAAATTACTTAATCACATTCCCAAAATGATTTTTTCAAAACTTAGTTGCCTTTTATTTTTTAATGTTAATAAGAATAACAAGACTTTTTCCCACCAGTCTCCCATGTCAATCTTTGGTGCAATATTCTAATCTGATGCAGATTACAACAGGGTGAAGTTACTGTATCAGATTATATGTTTCTAGTGAAAATTCTGGACTATTTTGTTGTTGTTTCTATGTTCTTTTAATAAAGATTTTTTTAAAAAAACCCAGGGGCATCTGTGAGGAATCTGCAGAGCTTGGGCAAACAGAAGGAAAAAAATACCATCAGAAAATTATTTCTGCAAAAGTGCCCAATTTTCTCTAAGCTTTTATTATGTTTGCCAATATGTAAACTGACATCTTCAGAAAATCAGTGCTCCCATCCTGAAAATCTGAATTAGATTAGATTTTGTTATCTAGTGACTATTAACTCTCTTTGCAAAAGTAGATTCATTAATAGAACGAAAATGATTTTTCCAAAAGATTTTAAAAAGGTACAGAGATGTCCAGTCATGCAGCGAGGCATACGTGACCCACAATCTGTCAACACCTGAGATATCCCATATCCTTATTGGAAGTCTGAGACACCACCTTGCTCCCAGAGTTTTGCTGCTAAGTTTCTACAGAAATCAACTGAACCAGTGAAATTTAGTACACACCTTGGCCAAAAACCTGTTGTGCTGCTCTGCTTGTGTTATGTGAATGAGGTTTTCATCAGCACAGACTGCCACTGATTCAAGACTTCTTTTTTCAGTTTCATTGTATGCACAGCTCACGCACAATGATACAAAGTATTGTAGGGAAACCAAAACTTAAAAAGAAAGAAAGCCTTGAACCTTGCCGGTCATGACAACATCATTTTCATTGAAAAAAGAAAGCCTTGAACCACCGGCAACCTGCCGGTCATGACAACATCATTTTCATTGAAGAGGCAGAACCTGCCCAATCGGATTTCAGCCATTACAAAGATTTAGACCAAGGGAATCTGGATACAAAGTCTTGCTTATCCATAAAGCTCACTAGGTGGCCTCAGTCAAATCACATTGTCTCCGCCAAAGGCCTTATCAAGGTAGTTACCGGAATAAAAAGGAACAACACCCCTCCCCCTGTGCTCCCTCCTTGCCTAGCCAGACATCTTCTTGGATATTTGGATTCCAAGAATGAACAGTATTTCCAATGAAAGACTTGACATTCTCTTTTTGCATAACAGATTGTGTGACTAAGGCCTAATTCTCATCAAGGGAGTAAACCTGTATCTAGTCTGTACTAGTTTGGACAGCAGCTGGGAGTTTGTGTGACTGGACCGTCCTTCAGCAAAAATATAAATCTCTGAACACAGAAAGCTGGCATGAGGGAAAGCATAGAGCGAGAACATTTTGTCATGCAAATTTAAATTTTCATTCTATCATGTAAGATATGAGCTTGTATTGGTGAAACTGGGTCCATTCTGTAACTTTATGGTTGGATTTATTTTTACCTTGTTGGAGGTAGGAAAACCTTGAAAGAACCTTTCTCTCACTGGTAATGTTGCTTGGCTTTATTAGGTTATCTTGCTTAATGGAACGACATTTATGCAACCAGCATTTGAATAACTGTTATCAATGTCAATAATACTATTATTTATCTCACGACATTAGCTTGGGCATGTTGTGAGAATGGCTGATGGTGAGATTCCAAAAACTCTCCTGTATGGAGAATTAGTGCAGGAAAAGCACCCCAGAGGGAGACCACAGCTGCGATGCAAGGATATCTGCAAACAGGATCTGAACGCCTTAGGAATGGACCTCAACAGATGGGAAACTTTGACATCTGAGCATTCCACCTGGAGGCAGGCAGTGCAGCATGGCCTCTCCTAATTTGAAGCGACACTTGTTCAGCAGGCTGAGGCAAAGAGGCAGTTCCAAAACCAGCAAAATCAGAGAGCTGGACCAGGGACAGATTATATTTGCCTTCAGTGTGGAAGGGATGGTCACTCTCGAATTGGCCTTCTCAGCCACACTAGATGCTGTTCCAAGACCTCTGTTCAGAGCATGTTACCATAGTCTCTTGAGACTGAAGGATGCTTACAATACTATTACGGTTTTATGTACTTCATTTAACCCAGTTCCATTCCCACAACCATGTACACATATACCTGAGGCTCAATTTCAAGCTCAGGTGAAACCAAATTTCTTGAAGGTGCAAAAGACTATGTTGCTGTTATTGGTGTACTTCTGGCATCAGTCAACTTACTGTGCTGTTGTCAATAGTCATGCTGCGGGTGCTCAGTGCTGGTGACCTTGAACGAACTGGAGTAGAGGCATTGCTTTGATTTACAGTACCCAGGGCCCCTTTCAGGCTACCTGGCACATCTTCCTGATCACTGCTGTCTAGTGAGAAGTTGCTCCCCCTACAGAAAAGAGTATCCCAAAAATGTACATTTTAGAAAGTACAGTATCTCAAAAGAAATGTACGTACACTACCTGGTCAGAAATGAAGAAAAAGTAGATATCCTAATTAACACTTTAAAGAAGATGGTCAACCACTAGTGTACAATCTTACACAAGTTACTCAATAAATATTCTGCTACTTGAGTACAAGTAGTATTGTGACTGTACAAGGCAATTTCAACCCATCATCAACTAGGCTTCAGCTCATTATCACTTGACCCATCCAGTTTAGTCTTTCTGTAATAAAAAAGAACAAATCCACTGAATCGGCAACCTAATCAAAAATATATCACAGAATATGCAAGTCCTCTATCTCCTTAACTTACTGTTAGGAAAAGTTTAAAGGCTGTTAAGCTATTCAATGCATTATAGGCAATAATTTTTCCAGGGAATCATGACAGAACCGATCAAGCTATCCTCTTGTTTAGTAAGCAATTAGTGATTTCAGACACTGCAACACTGATTTAGAGCCACTCTCTGTTTCAAAAGGGAATTAAAGATATAGAGGATAATTTTAATCAAAACTTTGCACACGTGTTCAGCATGTCTGGAGATTGTTTCTTTGCTGGTTTCTTCTCCACTCTTGCTCCCCACCCCCTGCCAGTATTTTGATCCAGGCTTTGTTTGTTTGTTTGCTTGCTTGCTTGGGTAGTATGGCAAGTAAGACTAGTAGATTTACAGTAATTTATGGCAAGATCTCTATGTTCTCCATTTCCCATCATATAAGGAGGTAAGAAAGCAATACAAGTGATACATTTGTATTTCCCCTTCTAATTAATATCTGAACTGGCATCTGAAAACACACTTTGCCAGCTAACTTCTGAAAAAAATAAATAAAACTGTTTGATTATTCTTAAGTTCTGAACCTCTCATCTTCTGGACAAGCCATACAGAGGAAAGCCCATGTGGCCCTCAGATGAACATAGAGAGAATATCTAATAACCTGGTGGTTCCCAACCTTGGGTGATTCAGGTGTTCTCGGACTACAACTCCCAGAAACCCCAACCAGCTCACCTAGGTATGGGAAAAGGTTATTTGGAGTAGAAGAAACCAGCAGAACAGTGTGCTTAGCCTTTTTTGAGCAGTTGCTTCTCCATCCCAAACTGTTCCATGGCCACATCCCTCCCCATCTCTTGGTTTATTGTGAAGAAAAAAGCATGTCTAGGAACCCAGCAAGGTGAAGACCAATTGGGGAGGCAGGTGGAAAAATTTACAATGAAAAAATCAGGGAGCAAAGGATGTGGATATTAAACACACATATGGATTCTCCACTCCAAATGGATCCCTCTGAAGTTGCTTTTCCCTAGGGAAACAAAGCTATTAACATAAACACCCATATAGTTTGCAGATACATGTATGTGGACCCTTAGTATTAATCGTAGTTGATATGCAGGCTTCATGAGATGTGCCACATTCTGAAATGGTCTGATGTATATGTTCCTGCAAAACTCTCCAAGGACAGTTTCAACTTGACAACATCTGAGTTCTCACACTGCAATTCAGCTGCTCCAAATACATCCATCTGCCTGCTCTTTCCCCAAGAGGACCTATATTCCAATGTACCAACTCAACCTCAGGTTAATGATTCTCAAGCTGAACTGTTTTCCATTACACAACCAATGCAAGCATCTTGTGACCTTGCAAACATATATGGTAAGTTTTATTTTATTTATTTATTTACAATATTTTTTTAGCTGTGCCATTATTAATGGTCTCTGCGCGGCGTACAACAATATTAAAACTTTTAAAACATTTCAGTTTTTAACATTATTTTTAAAGTTTTATTGTTATTAAATTTCAGGTAAATACACAGAAAATAATTTTATCCTTTCATTTGATTATTAATCAGTGTTCCAGATTTGAAAAAGTGAAACTTCATAATATTCTGCAGTGGAATTTCTAAAATTGGCACTGCCAGGTAGTATAATACAGAAACAAAGAAAGAATATTTTTAAGCTCAGCTGACATCTTTACTTAAAAACATATTGCTTCAATGTCTAAACAATCTTCCTGGTGTTCTGGCAATTCTGTTCATGTTAGACATGATATCTGAATTACACCTTTGCTTGGTTGATCCTGTCAAATATGTTCTGATAAAACTGCTATGAACAATCTTTTTTTACCACGACAAAAGCTTATTAGAAAAATAGCAGCATGGTGAAATGGTACCATTGACAATGACAGTTCATTGTCCACTAGCAAACTAAATGGAACACATCTAGATAAAATGTAGATGCTGTATGCATTGTGTGGTTCATCAGAATGTTTAACCCTTTCCTCACAGCTATAATGCCAATGCCCCTCTCTTAGTATATTGCAGTTACAAATACAAAAAATAAGAAAGCATTTCTTCAACAGTGAAGAAATAAAAAGTGATTTGTGCTTCAGAGATTCCTTTTCTCTTACCGATCAGCACTGTGTATACTATGGATATCAGCTTCTGAGCTGATGCTTCTTCCATCTTCTGCTTTCACATTTGCATTGTCTCCTTTAGCTACTGTTTTGAAGATGTTCCTACTGAAATATTTAAAAATTAACATTAATACATTCCCTTCCTAAAGTCAAAATGCATGACTCTCCATTCACTCTTTGCAGAGAAAATTAACTTCCATGCTTGTTTAACGTTTACTATGGCCTTCTCATTTTCTTGCAGTGACACTTATAGTGTACGAGACTTGGTATGTGGCACATAATTGTGTCACCTTTAATTCCATTACTCTGCTACTAAGCAATATTAAGGAGGCACACAGTTGATATCCGTAGTTGCGATCAGGACGCTACTGTTAGATCTGCAATATTTTCAGAAGGCAAAATCACTACTGAATCAGACCAGAAGCATGCTGTTTCTGACAGTGACCAGATAGATGAGTTTAGGAAACCTAAAAACATAAAATGAGAAGTATGCCTCTGATCATGGAAGGAATATTCATATACAGTGGACCCTTGACTTACGGAATTAATCCGTATTGGAAGGCGGTTCTCAAGTCAAAAAGTCTGTAGGTCAAGTCTCCATTGACCTACAGTGCATTGAAAACCGATTAATCCCGTAACAGGCCGTTTTTGTTCCATTTTGTTTTTTTTTCTGGTCTGTAAGTCAATTCTCAGGCTGCAAGTCAAACCTAAATTTTGCGGCCAGAGAGGTCTGTAACTCAAAAAGTCTGTAAGTCAAGGGTCCACTGTATAGCTATCATTACTATTAGGCACTGATACTCTTATTCCCATAGAATAATTGTCTAATTCCCTTTTAAAGAATGCTAAAGATTGTCACAACACCCTGTAGCAGTGAAGTCACATTTGAATTTTGCATCTACTGCATGGTGTTCAGAATTTCCTAGATCAAGAGGATGACCAACAAGGTGTTAAAGCAAATAAAGACCAAAAATCATAAAACATAAAATAAATGTAAATTGCAGTTTCTTTCAGCTAGCCATTCAAAGTTGAACAAATGGGGACAGAAGTGCAGAAAGGAAAATAATGTATTGTCTAAAGAACCTGGGAAACACAAGAACACTGTTGCTTAGACAAATATATCCTAAATCTGACTAGCTACCATGATGTCCAGCCTCCAGTTGGAGAGAAACAAGAATAAGAGGAATGATAGGTACCAAAAAGTCTTAGTTTCCTCTTTTGTGTGGTCAAAGTCTTCAAAACAGAATTACAGTAATTTGTTTGTAAATTGCACAGCACAGTGGAGAGAAAACAAAAGCAAACCCTAAAATGCTGTTGAGTTTCTTTTGAAGTATAACCTGATTATTAATCATATTTTAAAATGTTTCAAATATAAATGAATAGCAGTCTCTGACTATAAATCCTTACTTGAAGAAAAAAGTTCAATAGTCAGTATCTTCTACTATTCATAATAACCACTATTTATCTGTGACTGCTAAAAGACATTGAAGTCCCAACACCCCAACATATCCACAATAAAAGCAGTTTGGTTCTTATTTTAAAGATTTGGCTCTAAGTGATGAACCACTTCTGCATCGTTACCATAAACATATTGCAAATAATAAAATAATGCCCTACCCTATCTTCCTGGGCCCACTGAAGACTGATTTTGTCCCACTTGAAAGGGAAGTTAACATATCTTGCTTTGATGACTCCTCCAAGCTTCCTGGAGACTGATCTCTGGGTTTTCCACCTTCTATCAGTTCAGACGAAGAATCTTAAAAAGAAAAGGAACACTAAAATTTCACTCAGAGGGATTAAAACATGTTTCCCAGTTAGGTTATAGCTGGATGAAAATTCTAAGAATCTAATGAACAAGTACAGCAGCCACTGGACCTTACTGGGCCACTAAGTTTAAAAACATCTAAAAACAATACAAAGCCCCTTTTGTTTTGCAATTTATTGGCCTCCACTCCACCTACTGATTAAACACTGATATCTCACATTGTTTCAAGTAAAAACACCCCAGGCAGTTATCATAGGAAAAACCATTAGGAGAAAAATAAATTCAAGGAATAAGGGAAGGAAGACAGACAGACAGACAGGAAAGGAGTAACAGCAAATGAAAAATCAAAATCAAAGATGGGCCAGACTGGAGGCCTGCAACAAGAAAACAAAAATCTCTAGCTGGTGGCAAATCTTCATTAAGATGGAAGCCAGATGAGTCCATCAGATAAGACAGTTCCACAGCTTGGGCACCTGAGTAGAGAAGTTCCTCCCTCAGGTGGAGGCAGAGATGGTGTTCTCAGCAAACATTTTATTGAGCATGACCATGTGACAACATTTAATTGTTCTAACCAGTGTCCAGCCACCCTGCACTTTTAAAAGACAGTGGGCAGCACTTTGCACAAAGCCCAGAAATGCAACAAAATCCATTCAGTTTTGTCTGCTTCTGTATCAAGCAGGAAACACAATACTGTCAAAAATGTAATTTCTAATGACAGGGGCTCAATGCAGTTCCTGTGACTCATGTAACCAGCATACTGCGTGGATGAACACTGACAAATAGCTTACAAACAGCATACAAAGCTGCCTTACAGAAGTCTGATCCATGGTCCATCTGTTGTTCTTGATATGTCCTGTGAGGTCGCCTCCAAGTTAAGGTTACCCCTAAGAATTAATGACTTCCGAAAGGTCCTATCATTAACAGCACTGCTCAGGCCTTCTAAATGAAAGCCATGGAGTTCTTTACTGAATCAATCCATCTGTTAGGTCTTCCTCTTACAGTTTTCCACTTTTCTCAGCATTATTGCCTTTTCTAGGAAGTCTTTAGTGAGTTTAGTCATCTTAGCTTTTAATGAGAATTTAGGCTTGATTTGATGTACCATAACCCTCTTATTTGTCTTTCTGGTTGTCCATGGGATCTGTTTGTGTCACATGTCAATATTTCCTCAGCAACAACCATTTCGTTTTTATAAAAAGTGAAGCACATATTACAGAGGAATGCCAGAAACAAACTTTTCTGACTGAAATCATCCCTTCTCTCACACAAAAGTACAGTCCATATTTTATAACTAAATAAGGAGATTTCTGCATTTTTATTATTATACCAGGAAAATTTAGTATCTATCAGTACCCATATTTCTAAGTTTTTATACATTCCCAGAACACACTGTTTTCACTATAAAGCTGTATTTCAAGCCATGGAACAAAGTGACTCGAAAATCTTTAGTGTATATCAGTGTCAACGTCTGTAAAAGGCTAGCTCCTTGCAATGATAAAACTATCTTGCTTTCCTGCAACGAACACAGTATTAGCTGCTAAAGTGGGCTGTACATCACAATTTTCCTTCTGACAGTATTATACATTATGCACACATTATATAGACAGCAGCAGTTGAGGCATTAATATTTATGAATCTGTAAAGAACTTTCTTAATCTAAATACTGCATGAACTGGGGCAATATTCTCAGCTATAAAGGGAAATCATTTACATGCACATGGAGCTCCCACAAGTATCAATAACAGAAAATCTGTTATTTTGATGTGCACTTTTAAATGTCTCCACTGTGACCTACGATCCACATGTCACTAATTTCAAAGGGAACTTTAAGTAAATAGAATAAGTTCAACATAAATGATCTGGGAACACTGGCTGCAATACTGCTAAACCTCAACAGTCATGGAGCTGACCCAGTTCCTTTGATATGAGGATGCTATGTGCCCAATGTAAGAGAACAGAAATATAACTAGAAAGGAGGATGCACCCCTTGCCAGCTCATTGCCCAGCAGTAAGAAGGCGAGCAATAAATGAGGGAAGAGGAAGGTGACAGACATACAGGTCTTGCTAGTTTTACCTTGGGCTTTGAAAGACCGTCTAACAACATCACTTCCAAGGAGCTTGGAGTGCTTGAAGCGCCTTGCTCTCTCTTCAAAGAACCACTCACCTGTGACTATTCTAAGGTGCCTGTAGAAAAGAAATAAAACTGAATTGCTGCAAACTGATGAAACCAATGTGAACCAGTTACATGACTTTCTTACCCTCCCAAGCTTCTTTTTCCAAAATATAATAAATAAATAAATACTGTACAAGAAACCATGGACTATAAGAAAGATTACCTCCTCTCAAACATTATTTGTTTGAAACGTTTAATAAAATATCTTTTACAGGTCTAATAGAATGAGTCTCAGTGGGCTTCTCCCCCCCCCAATGGGTGGAAAAGTTTGGTGAGGTATATTTTTGAGGAAGGAATAGAAAGAAGGGGTATTAAAACCGTTCCCTCCCTGCTGTTTCTCATTCCAAGTGAGCATATAAGCATTCCCAAACACAGCAGCTCAGCCCACGCTCCCAAAGCATTCACCCTAGCGTTTGTAATAAACTCTTGAAAATAACGATGGGTACTGAAAACTAATGTCAAACTGTATACCACCAGAACAGGGAAGGAGACAGAAAAATGAAAGCAGAATGAAAGTTGAGATTTAATCTCTCTGTTTTGAAAATATGCATACTTTCACAAAATAATTTATTACAAATAAATCATGAGCTTAAAAAAAAAGGCAGAAAGGTTTTTGTTGTTGTTTTTTTAATGTGGAAGACTTCCTAACCAACAGACAGCTGAGTTAACAATGTTCGCTAGTGAAGGACTGCCCAATTTATTCTAAAATGTACTCGTGGAATTTCTAAATCTTAGAAGGCAAACTGTTCCTAAATGCAAAATCTTGTTACATTTTATTTTTCTTAAAATAAACACTCCATGAACATTCCAATCTCTAATGCACTCCAGCAGGACTATTCTGGATGACCTTATCTGGTGTAATATTATCTGGAAACAATTAGTATCAATGCAGTATTGATTTACTTTTTAAATTTTAACTTGTGGCACTCTTGTGACAACTACATTGTTTACAAGATGCAGTACTGATTTACTCTTTAAATTTTAACTTGACTTCCAGCACTCTTGTGACAACTACATTGTTTACAACTGTTAAAGAAGCAGTGCTTGGTGCCATCAGAGCTGGCAGAATCCTTAAAATTCAGACATCTGACACTTGTAATAACCAGATAAATTGGAAGCAGTGTGAGCTTCAGTTTCCTTGGTACCCTACTGCTAACATCCATTTAGTTGTTTTCTATTTGGGAGCTGAATGCACACATGGCGGTTGCTGGTTTACTAAATAGGGCCAAGACTTGGGAGGGGGTTGTCAATGGAGGACCTCTGCAGGTGTCCAATGATACCAACCACCAATGTCAACTTCACCTTTCTTATTCAGTTCTAGGTTAGAACCAAATATTAACTGAAAGGGATGAACACTGAGAGGTTCAAGGAAGTCAGAAGTTCAGAAATCCAGGGTGTTGTCAAACATGGAGAAGTGCATACAAATAAGTCCTTTGATATCAAAGTACAACACATGTTGAATTCAAGTATGTCGTGGTATTTTGCAAGCTATTCTTACTGCCCTTTGAACACTAACCACTCCCTTCTCCTCTCCATGTATTTGTTCTGTGCTTTAAGTTGGATAAAGGGAGCAGAAATAATCTTTAAGTCAATGTTTGTAAATATTTTTCTTTTCAGTTTCATCAGGAGTGATGTTCGAAAATACTTGTTACCCTACATAAGAAATGTTTATATTAGACACCTAAGCTGGGACATCCGGATTTATCCAAACTATTCATCTCCAAACCCCTTTGTTATTTTTAGAGGCAGAAAGCATCATAATTTCATTTGCGGTATCGGAGATTTTCTTTGGAACTCAACAGGACTTGTAATCCAGCCACTGCACACATGCAGCAGAGAGACCATCTGCATTGGTGTTTTATTCTGATCAGGAGACCTTTTCAAGGAGAATGACTAAACAAACAAACTGGTTTTATTATGCAGAGTCTTTCTGTTTCTATAACTCCTTGTCAAGATATCTGCATGATATGACTTTGCTTCATAGTTCAGTTGGTTTAGTGCCATCTTCTAAATGAAACAAGGCTGAGAATTTCAAACCCTGAGAAGTGATCCTCCTTTCTTAACTTCCACACAGCTTTTTCCAAGGCTCACTTAGAACTGGAATCCTAGATTTCTGGACATCTTTTTGCAGCACAAATCTTAGATTTATTTAGAAAATATTTGGCCTTCAAGCTATCTATACAGGTAGAAACCTTCACAAACTAAGAGTTTATTTATTTATTTAATTTATATGCTGCCCACTCTACCCAAAGGTCTCTGGGCAGCTTACAACAATTAAAATTCAATTAAAATACAACAAAAGATTAAATGATTAAAATACAGTATGTCTTCTCAGGTATCATAGAGAGTGGGAGGCAAAGCAATAATGTTAGTTCCATATCCAAAACTACTCTTGAAGGCCGTTCAGGAGCTTCAAGGATTACAGAATTTGATCTGACTGCTGGAATTCTACCAAAAGAACTGCACCCAGGACGTCAGTAAGAGAACTCTTCATTAAAAAGCCACCTACTTCTAGAAAACCTATTAACACTTCCAGAAGCACCCTTTGCCCTAGCACTTCAAGCATCTTGCCTCAGATTGAGGAAAATACAGAGACTATAGCCCTGCCTGATGAAACTCTCTCAACCAAAATGTAGCTGATTGCTTTTCTGTCTAAGCCCTATCTGGCAATGAAACTCTTCTACCCTCTTTTCTCTGTCTCCCGCTTCCACCTAACTTGCTGTATCGTTTCCCTGTTGTAAGTGCCCAAGACATCTTCAAAAGGATGCCCATCGCAGTGGTGCAAGAGCTTTTGTTGTTTTTAAAGGTAGAAAGCAACAGTCTCAACTGCAGCACCACAATTACAGAATACCATTCCCAGACAGATTTACAGGACACCAAGACTTCTATCATACACAGGCACTAATAAATTTAATATGAATAGATTCAGATTGTGACAACTCAATTTACCGAAATCACACGTGGTATTTCTTTGACTTCTGAATCATCCTTAATCTCTTCCAAACAGATGCCTAATTCAAATGCACATCTTCCATTCTTACTGACTACAGCAACTGTCTGGTATAATTACTGCTGTTGTACTAAAGGATTAGAAGCCAAAGTTTTCATTTGTTTGCCAGGAAGAAGAAAAGATTCAGCATTGCTTGTAACAATGTTCTACAGGTCAGAATAGACTCCTTTAGATTATGACTATCCACTTACGTACTATTGCTTAGAGCCCAACCAAGATGGCAGCAGATCTGCATGTATAAAGCTGAACATTCCCTTCTTAAGTGAAAAACAAGGAACCAAATTTAATGTGCAGTGGGGCTGCAGATTATTATTTTACAGTCTTTCCCCTCACAAGATGATTTGGAAGAAGATCCTCTCTGGGATTGATATTTTGCATAAGACAGCTCACTTGCTGTCTGCCACAACTGGCCTTCTCATCAACTTAAATTCAACACTTTTGGTTTCTACATGACAGCTGAGTTAACAATGTTTGTGAGTCTGGGTTAATTACACAGATCTACCACTATCCCTTCACACTAGGAAGAGCATTCATCACAACTTTGAGACATTGGGGGGGGGATGCCCCAGATCATAAACTTAGTTCAGGAGGAATAGTGGGAGGATCTATTCCACAAAGAAAGGCAAAGATCATCCTCAAACATGTGATGTGATATCCTAGAATGTGCTTGAAGTCTGGTGCTTATGAGCTCCTCAGATATACAGAAAGTGCTCCATAAAGGTGGAAGCTATAGTATTTGAAAATGTCTGTCAAAGAATGCCAGATATCTGAAAGGGAAGTTTTAGCTTCAATAATTAATAACCTAATATAATCTGATTAATTGCAGACATATTCAAACTGCTGCAACACATTCCAAAATGGCAAAGAAGTTACATTTTTTTTAAAAAAAGAATGTGGTACTTTGCCCTTTCCCAAGTAAAATGAAATGCCATACCAGAAATAAGAAAGCTTTATGAAAAAGTGAAATGTATTTTAAAACTTCTCTTGAATGTAAACTACAGTGAAGACCTGTTCCTTGGTAAAACATTTAACATTTTCTTTCACACTTTCCTCCCTCTGTCTTTGTGCTCTGTTCAATAATGTTAGAAATGTTTGATTGTTTCATATTTATTTCACCACCAACACCGTGTAAGTATTCTCGAAGGCTGTGTAAGTACTTGTGCAGAATCTTTCCTCCACATACTTTGAAATTCAAGCAGTTTTTATTCTTGAAATTTGCCTAAACAAGCCACTCAAATGACACAGTAATCTGAATACACTCAGATACTTAAATGAAACGTTCTGTTTTTTATCCTACCTATTTTATGGCATTGGGAGTCATTCTGCTGTGGCTACTTTTATACAGCATCACATGTGGTAAACATTAGTATCATTGCCCATAGCTTGTTCTGCTCCTACCAAAATCCCCAGCAATTACCACCAACCCTCAATTCTTCTTTCACTTCATACTATGGTAACATTATGTTCCTAAAGATTTTTTCATCTACAAACGCCTAAGACATCCATATACTTACCAATTACTAAAGCACCGTTAAACAATAATAAGAAACACACACATACAAACACTCAAATCCAGTACAGATAGCAGAGTAGACCCTTCTGATAGACTATGCTTGTATTCCTTTTCTGCACCTTAAAATTTCCCTAGATGGGCACTTATAGATGGGGGCCTTGGTATGTTTCAGCAAAGACAGTAGAATTCTCCTGTACACTTACTCAGCCTGCTATCCTTCCGAGGTCGGTAAAATGAGTACCCAGCTTGCTGGGGGGGGGGCAATGTGTAGCCTGCATAATTAACTTGTAAACCGCCCAGAGAGTGCTTGAAGCACTATGGGGCGGTATATAAGCAGCACACTTTACACTTTTACTTAACATCATTTTCTGAATTCCTTCCCCATGCAATCAAGGATTCAAAGCTTAGACAACCAGAAATAGGACTAAAACAACAACAACACCACTCTGGTGCTTTAGTCTTTGGAATATCTTCTTCATGGTAGCTGCTCTGGTAGCTGCTCTTACTGCTACTAAGTGAAGACCCATTAATTCTATAGGTTGACCTACAGAAAAGGATGGTTCTGTGGCCATTTTACAGGTAAGCAAAACCTTTATGATGATGACCATAGGTAGAGATGCTGGTATAGGGCAGAACCATGTTCTCACTCAGTACTGTATTAGAAAGAAATGCAGATGCTTAATATCCCCTTTCCTGAATTTGAAAATTTTCAAGTTCATACAAAACCCAAAATTCCATTATTACCCCGGCTCCTCACTTCATTCCCACCATCATGTTATCGTCAATGGCATAACAAGGTTAGGAACTGAGTTTTCTGTCTCAATGTGTTCAGTAGCAGTAACACTTACGCAATCTTATCACACACGGTGCACTTCCAGTTGCCATTGTTCCCAACAACACGACATTTGTTGCAAACCCTGAGTTTGCAAGCTTCGCAGAAATCCCCTCTATCAAAGATTAAACCCAAATTTTTCTGACAGCGAATGCAGACTCTGCTATTGTCCTGTTGGTAGTGTCGGCCACCTTTCCGTTTGACTTCCAGTAGCTCGTTCTTCAACTTTCTGGAAGATGAAGAACAAAAAATAAAAGAAAATCTTCACCAAAAAGCACTGAAGTAGGTTTAATTGCTATTAGGTAAAAACTTTTAAAATGGGGGTCATGCTTGCAATATCCTCACATTGTGAGAACACTATGAACTTTTGATATACAGTATGTCAAAATATAAAGCACTATGGAGACTTGTATATATTGTCTATTTTTCTGCGTCCTAATGAACAACTGTTACATAAACATCCAACATCTTTATTAATAGCAGCACTATGCTTATAAATAACAAGGCAATGGAGGGCTGACAATAGAAAACTGGGTAAAAAAGGGCACCACAGATGGCCCTGGCAGAAAAGAGAACACCTGATCTTCAGGTATGAAAAGCAGCAGATGAGCCAGATGACCTGGGGGGGAGGCAATATGGAATCCTTTTAATTGTTTTATAACCGTATCTACACATGAATTCAGGTCAACAGCACACTCTACAAAATTCTGGCAAGATACGTGATAGAATAGACATAGAACATTGCACTAAATAATAAATGCCTGCAGCCACTCTTGACAGCAATGCCAACATCCACACATACTTTCTGTAAACAACGTGGTGCCATGACTTGGCTGTACCCCCATGTTTATTTATACATTTTGTATTTAAATACCACCTTCCAATACGGATTAAGTTCTTAAGTAGAGACCCCACTGTACAGTATGTCAAAATATCAAGCACTATGGAGACTTGTATATATTGTCTATTTTTATGCATCCTAGTGAACAACTGTTACATAAACATCCAACATCTTTATTAATAGCAGCACTATGCCTGTAAATAACAAGGCAATGGAGGGCTGACAATAGAAAACTGGGTAAAAAAGGGCACCAGAGATGGCCCTGGCAGAAAAGAGAACACCTGATCTTCAGGTATGAAAAGCAGCAGATGAGCCAGATGACCTGGGGGGGAGGCAATATGGAATCCTTTAAATTGTTTTATAACTGTATCTACACATGAATTCAGGTCAACAGCACACTCTACAAAATTCTGGCAAGATACGTGATAGAATAGACATAGAACATTGCACTAAATAATAAATGCCTGCAGCCACTCTTGACAGCAATGCCAACATCCACACATACTTTCTGTAAACAACGTGGTGCCATGACTTGGCTGTACCCCCATGTTTATTTATACATTTTGTATTTAAATAATGTTTTGTTTCATTAATGTTGAAATACATTTTTTTTATTTTAAAAATGATACATTTGTGAAGCAAGCCCACTGACAAATCAAAATTCCTTTCATAACTTCTACAGTGCCTCAAGCACAATGTTTTTCAATTAGTCAAGTCACATTTTTGGCTGCAAAGCACTACATATTGAGTATGACATTATACAGAAGAATTCACAGGTTTAAACATTACGTTGTACTAAAATACAAGTGGGGTCATAAACGGATATATGTGATAGCAGTCTTGCTCCATTTACTTCCTTAAAATTCTGAATCTACCAAAAAGAATACAACAAAAACAAAAGAGCCTAGTGTAAGAAATAACCAGCTACAGAATTAAGTGAAGCGAAAGAAGCGTTATTATGGCTGAAGCTGAAGCAAGCTGTTCAGAACACCAGCTGAACCATGGATAAAAAGGACCCTGAAATAACTTATACAACTGTTTTTACACAGAATTAAACTTGGACTTTGCCATAAATTGCCTACTAGTACAATATTTGAAAATCAAGCAACACTGATAGAACCAGGTGACAAATACTGCTAATCTAGAAAGTTGGAACACAGAGCTTCCTACTGGCTAGCACAGCCCCTTTCTTGCCACAGATGGTTGACATCAGGACAGGCATACTGAAGAAGTCTATATTTCATGTGATGCAATTACACATTCAAGATCATAATCACCAAATCAGTGCCTGTTTCTAGATAATGATCCAACCTAGATTTTATCCTGCAGACTGAAAGCCAAACTACAAAACATGTGGGAAATCAAGCTCAGGGTTGTGATGAACAAGAACAGTGTGAATTTAACCTCCCTCCCATTCTGCCATTGTGATTTTTGATGGTACCACAATGCAGAAAAGTGGAAGACAATGGTCTCAAACCTCCTTTCTTCACAGAACTGCACATTTCAATACAAACATACATTGTGTACGATCAAATTTTAAGTGAGGAAAAATTCAGAACTTAAAGTGTCATTTATAGTTATGTGCTGTCAAGGTACTTCTGACTTGCAGTGACCCTATGAACTAGTGACCCCCAGAAGATCCTGTCATTAACTGCCCTTACAAACTCAAAATCATGGCTTCCCTTACTGAATCAATCCATATATTCAGCCATTTTCTTTTACTATTGCCTTCAACATTTCCTAGCATTATCGTCTTTACTGGTGAGGCTTATCTTCTCATGATATGCCCAAAGTTCAATAACCTGCACTGTTATTTATCATTCGAGTTGGATGGATAGGTGAAAACTATGTATTTATTATTTGGAATACCAGGAAATTACCTGCTTACAACTTTTAACTGCATCACTTCTTTTCTAAATTTGTCAATATTTCCACAGAATCAAAAATTTACTAAGTACTATTCAATATCTGTCAGAGTATGATTTTCAGATAATGTTTTCTCACACAGACCACTCTTGCAAAAAGCATAGACAACATTCAAAGATAAAAAGAGAAGACATGGCTGCTGACAAGTTTAGTCAAGGTAATTTGTTCTATGATGGTCATCGTTCAGTCGTGTCCGACTCGCCGTGACCCCATGGACCAGAGCTCGCCAGGTCCTTTCTTCCACTGCCTCCCGTAGTTGTGTCAAATTCATGTTGGTTGCTTCGATGACCCTGTCCAACCATCTCATCCTCTGTCGTCCCCTTCTCTTGCCGTCACACTTTCCTAACATCAAGGAGTCTTCTCTTTTCATGAGATGGCCAAAGTACTGGAACCTCAGCTTCAGGATCTGTCCTTCCAGTGAGCACTCAGCGTTGATTTCCTTTAGAAATGATAGGTTTGTTCTCCTTGCAGTCCAGGGGACTCACAAGAGCCTCCTCCAGTGCCATAATTCAAAAGCCTCACTTCTTCGGTGGTCAGCTTTCTTTATGGTCCAGCTCTTGCTTCCATACATCACTACAGTAAAAACCATAGCTTTGACTATTCTGACTTTTGTTGGCAAGGTGATGTCTCTGCTTTCTAAGATGCTGTCAAGGTTTGTCATCGCTTTCCTTCCAAGAAGCAGGCGTCTTTTAATTTCGTGGCTGCTGTCTCCATCTGCAGTGATCATGGAGCCCAAGAAAGTAAAATCTGTCACTTGATGGTACCATCTATGATGGTAACATTGTGCAAATTGCGCAAAGTGAAGCATTCTGTTTCTGTGGTCAAAGAAGAAGACTGTACATAAGGGAAAAAAACTACCCTCCCCTTTGGGTAGGATGCCATATCATATAACACAGCTGCAATATGAGGTATACATTATGTGTACTACAGCAAGAGGCATAGGGTATGTTCAAATTGGTTCAATGGTCCACAAAGGTAACATTAACATCACATTGCTGTTTGGGTGAGGCTACAGCCTGGATATCATAATACAGCTTCCACCAAGCAGCCTGCTGTCTTGCCTCCAATGACTATTCTCAGCACAAGTACAGTATGTAAATTATGTAGAGCTGCACCCATTCAAAGTAATTTCTGCCTCACAAAATACTTGAAATCAAAAAGAAATCCTGTATTGCATGTACATTTCCTCTAGAGATTGCAGACTAGAGAAGATGAAAACTCTCAACAGCTATAAAAGTTCATGACACTGGCTGGATAAGTATATCTTTAGAAAGATATCGATAAAATAACTCTTACTAAGCTGCTGTCAAATAGCACTCCTAGTACAGATTTAATACTTTCAGGCCGGAACTATACTTTAGAATTAGCTCGATTTTTCCAGATCTGGCTAAAGAACACCTGGACATGTCTGTGAAGATTCTCAGTCATCCAGGTGAGGTTATCTGGAAGCTGAGTCATGGCAACTGAACTTATTTCTTGTTAGGTTGAAACATTTTGTTACTCATGCAAGTAGCTTCTTCAGTCTGAGGAGAGTTGGTAGGAGATCCCTGATATAGCTTCCACTTGATTTCACCTCCCTCTGGTCTGAATAGGCTCCTTAGAAGGACAAAGGACTGGGAGTGAGGGATAATCTCACTTCTGTAGCCCTTCTCCACCCATTGTCATGAGTCATTAACAGTTGTTAACAGTGATATTTCTGGTGTAAGTGGTCCTAATCTTTCTGGGGATGGATAAAAGGGCAGCATGATAAGAGCCTTGTGGCACACTGGTTAAACTGCTGGACTGCAGCCAAAACTGTGCTCATGACCTCAGATGTCCATCTTCCTTCTTCTTAGCTTCTGTGGAGGTGGGAATGTTTCCATGTTGCCATGACTCAACTTGAACACCTGGACACACTATCAAATCTGTATTTCAGCAAGCCCAGGCAGTCACAGGCTGCAACAATGGTCTCTCAGGACTGAAGAAGTTATACTGGTAACCAATCATAAGTTGCAGATCTGACTTTAAATTTTGAATTAAATTAAATCAATAAATTAAATGGAATTTCAATCTCAAGATGGATATCTTCAATTACGAGGCAAAAGACGAGTGCTCTGGACTGACCTGAGTGACTAGCATCCCCATGTCCCTCAGCCATGGTGGGTACCAGGTGATGGTTAGTTAACACAGTCCTGGAAAAAGCCAAAGCTTTGGACAGAGGCGACTGACTGTGGAGACTTCAAGAACTAAATCAACTCAAAACTTCACCTAACTCTTAGGTGGCAGCAACAACAACCAGAAACTAAAAACAAGGAATGCTAGCCAGGCTTCTGTAAAGAAAATTGTGCATATCCATTTCAATTGACCATAATATAAGATGCAGAAAGTAGTTGAAAACTACCATATTGTAGCTGTCAATTATACTGGCAATGGCCAGATAGACATGTAAAAAGGTACATATCCCTGGGCAGAATGCACTAAGA